GATTTTTCGATGATAAATGATAACAGAAGCACAAAAGAAAATCACATCTTAAAACACACAATCGTGTTAGTAACGTTTTTGCTTCATTATATGCATGTTAAGTCACCAGATGTCACAGCAAGTCTAGCGCGTGTGTGATTGAATGGAGACAGTGTCAGCTTGCCCAGGTGCTGGCAAACATGAGTTGCAGTGTCGCAGATATTGCTAGCAGGACTGCGGCTTCCTTTATTTATTTTTGGCCCATGTTCAGAAGGGAGGGAAGCGCTAGATCTCCAAGAGGCGAATGAAAGTGAAGGTGCCATTTCTCCCCATCCGTGCAAGTTCCCACACCCATGCTGTTCATTAACTGCGGGTCCCTCAGCTGCCCACACACTAGCCATTGTCAGCTCTGTGATCTTGGGGCTCAGCCCCCACCCCGCTTTTCTGCTGGCAGCCAGCCCCTGCCATGCAGGCACTGGTGAGGGGAAAGAAGAGGGAGAGTGGGCAATGGGAGAGAGATGTCTCTGTCAGTATGGTGCAGACAGTGCCGCTGTAGCCCACAAGAGCAGGTGGCTCTGAGACAGGAATTAGCAGAGCAGAAGTCTTGATCCTTCTAGGCTGAGAGCATAGTGGCCCCGAAGAGGAGCCGAGAACCCCAGATGGACTCTGCTGAGTCATGGCCTCCAGGGACCGTTCACAAATACCTGCCAGGTGTTCTTCACTTCTGGGACCTCCTAGGACTGTGATCAGCCAGGCACATGGGCCTCATAGACACTGCACAAGTACTGCATTGACTGGACCTAAAAAAATCTGCAGTCTCCTGTAGGGTAGAGACCACAGAGCTGCACAAGGCCCGAGCTCCCTACTAACCCCCTTAAAGGTCCCTGAACAAACAGCGGTTCTAGGCGTCCTCCTCAGGATGCCCTCCTGGCTAGCGGGAGCCCGACTTCCTTTCCTCAATAGCTTTTTCTTCCTCACCTTGAAACCCTTTAAATATCATTGCTTACACCCCCCACTTCATCTGTAGTTTTTTTCACACCAGTGGGATATGGCCCTGCCATTCTAGTATCTATTCCAGGAATAATTTTGAGGTAAGATAGAAAAGCAGTAAGAATTGGTAAAAAGAATACAGGGAAATCATAATTTTAGAAGTGTACTTTTAGATCTGAGTGTGATGGTGAATGACTGTAATGCCAGCACTTGGGAAGCTGAGGCAGGAGGATCACTGTGGTTCTGAGGTCAGCCTGAACTATATACTGAGACCCTAAATCAAAATTATACTTTTAATAAAAACTGCAGGTTCAGAATCCAAACCCAGTCCAAAAATGTTTGTATGGTCTTTAAAGACATGATAGATCTGAGCCATTCCCTTTTACCTGAAAATGGACATCCTTTCTACTTGTGAGTGGGCTTGGCTATTCTTACAAAATGAGTTTTTTCCTAGTCACCAACAATGGCTATCACCTGTGAATGGCCTATCATCCCTTCCTCCCTTCCTCCAAGTTTTATCTCCTCTTTCCATAGATATATAGATTTTACAGGTTTCTAACTGAAAGTCCCCATAAACTCTCTCTCTCTCTCTCTCTCTCTCTCTCTCTCTCTCTCTCTCTCTCTCTCTCCTCTCTGTCTTTCTGGCTCAGGCCTACACTCTTCCTTTGAGTGTGTACTTTTAAAATTCTGCTTTATTTCTCTATGCCTCTACTGATGAGTCCTGAAAATTCTTTTTCCCCAGAGCTAGTGAACCTGAAAACTTATTCTGCCTGTAAGGTGGGTCCCATTTCTTCATCTTGGTTTGGGGAACCTCCTCTTGAGGGTGTGGCACTTGTGTTTCTCTTGAGAGGGCGGAAGCTCTCTGGAAAGTTCCAGTCTTTCTGAGTCCCCAGGCCTGGGGTGAGGAGGAAAGAAACATGTTGGCTGGGCTGAGAATTGGCTCTGGGAATCCCACTGGGGAGAAGGCTTGGTGGCCTTTGACCCAGTAGCCTTGCTTCTAGAAAGCTATACCAGGAAATAGCCCCAAAGAAGAGCCTGGCTCTTCCTAGCCTGACTGGCCTGTGGGTGCTGATGAGAACTCATGGATGGTGATGTCCACAGCCCATGGACTCAGGGAGTGGCCACAGACCTGAAGGACCTGAGCCCCTGCCACTGAGCCCCCACTCAGTTCTCAGAGTCCCCTGCCAGCATCTCACATGTGTGCCAGGCACCAGGTCAACCTCGTGTGGCTCCAGTGGGTCTTCAGGCTGGAACCCAGGGGAAGGGTGGCCTTGCTTCTACCATGCTGCTCTGCTCACATGAAAATGCGGCCCACTATCCTGGTCATGGCAGCTCTGCCCAGCTCCCTGGCTCCCCCGCCCCAGGGCCACTGTGGTTTGCATGCTGCAGCAGGAAGTGACGCTCCTTTGACCCCCAGGGATCCACTTCCTCCAGCCAAATCCCATTCCCAACCAGCAAACTGTACCTCCCACCAGCAAGCCTTGGAATCCAACCACCTTCCAAACACGTAATGTTTGGGGGACCATTGTAGATTCAAACAAGTATATAATCCCAAAATTTCACAAACATAGCACTAATGTCTTTTTTTTTTTTTTTTTTGTCTTTTTCGTTTTTACTGGTACCAAGGATCGAACTCACGACTGCCTGCTTGCCAGGCAGGCGCTTATGCCACTGAGCTAAATCCCCAGCTCCTATAGCACTAATGTCTTATGGTGGGAGTCATTTTAGTCTGTTCGGGCGGCTGCCACAAAATGCCTGAGAGCAGGTGATTTCTAAATCATCTTATTGCTCACAATTCTAGAGGCTGGGATATCCAAACTCAAGAGGCTGGCAGATTTGGGGCACAGGAGGCCTTCTTTTCCACTTCAAAGGTGGGCACCTTCTCTCTGTACCCTTGCATAGAAGAAAGGGGAAACATGTTCCCTCCAGCCTCTTCTAGAAGGGCACTAACCCTATTCTTTAGGGCAGAGCACCCAGGAGCCTTTTGCTTCCCAAAGGCCCCCCTTGGTGTTGTCACACTTGGGGGTTAGGTTCTAATAAAGGACAAAACCAGACCGGGAGTGCTGGAGACCATTTGTACAGCCTCCTGGTCATGGCTTCTGCAAGACACTGGTTGGCTGCAACCTGAGTCTCCTGGAAGGAAATCAGCTGGAACGAACATTAGGAGGCCGGGGCTCCCTCAGCTTTTGTTGTGGGAGCTTGGTGACCCCTCAAAGACAGCTATGAAATTTCTCATCCCTGCTGCTGGCCCTGGAGGCCTGGCTAACACAGCCTCACCCACCAGCAGGGAGCAAATGAGGAGAAAAGTGGCCCCTGAGCTGGCACTGGTGGCGAGTCTGCAGGGCTCCCATCTCCACTGCCTGCTGGGAATCAGCATCCTTGGAGTCCACTTGCCCTGTGTGCTTTGCCAAGTCCACACCTGGATATCCTGCTTTGCTCAGCCCCTTTGGACGCATGATTCACTTTGGATTCACTACAAGGCTCTGTGCATTGCCCCCTGATCTGGTGGTATTTCTGCCTCTCTCTGTTGATGCACCAGGAACTTGGCTTGCAGTGTAGACAGATTTATGGGCCTTAACCTTCAATCTCACCTCCTGGGGACTTGTTTGCAAACTCATGGCTTCCAGCCCCAAGAATGTTGGGAGTTTTCTTTCAATTTCTCACTAGCTTGTCTGGGCCTTTGGAATCTTCTGTCTCACCATCTCTTTAGACCTAGTTATCTGCTTCTGAGCATCTCATGACTTTCATAATTGCCCGGTGCTCCCAGGCCTACACCAGAGTGAAGGGCCCCGGGCCCATCCCTAGTGGATCTCTCTGTCTCCCTCCCCTGCCCAGGGATTCTGCTGGACCCTCTTTGCTGCCCCAAGTGGCCCTGGAAACATAATGCCTGCTCTGAGAGTCTCCTGGACACCTCACAAGTCTTAGACTGCTGCGTGGGTAAGAAGCTATATTTACCTACTTTGGGGGAAAGTGCAAAAATCTTGCTGTTTTTTAAAGAAACAGCTTTAGCACTTTGGATGCTATGTGCCCAAAGAGTATGATTTGAGGACAGAGTCACTGGGGAGCTCAGGACAGGTGCTGAGTGAGGGCACTGCAGCTTGGGTGAGAGCACCTGGGGTGAGGGCCCGGTTCTGCCACATTCCAGGTGGGTGACAGGGCCTCTCACTTCAGCATCCACAGAATGGGGCTGACAATAACACCTGCCAGAGCAGGTGGGGTGAGACCAACGTGGGCCTGTGCAAGGTGAGGAAAAACAAGGCAGCTGCCCTAATTATGAGCGCGCAGCGCCGCAGCGCCGGGCCAGCACCATCCCCGCCTTAATTACAGTGCTCACGGGGCTCGGGATCAGAGGCGCTAGCGGAAGAAGAGCTGCAGGCAGCAGAGTCCCAGGAAGTCCTGGGAGCGGCACAGATGGCAGGGAAGGAGTTCAAAGTAGGGGCGTCATCGGAAGATCTCCCCGAGAGGGAGGGATTGGCCCAGGCCGTCTCAGGAAGGGGCTGAGGGGTAACCACCGAGACAGTCATTGTGTCCGGCTGCAGAGGACACTATCTCACTACTGAGGTCAGCACAGACCCTCCGGAAGTCAAAGAAGAAAGAAGCCAAGAAAGAGAGAGAAAGTAAGCAAGCAAGCAAAAACCAAACCAAAACCAAAACTCCAGAAACTGCTGAGGGGCCCCCTGTCAGTCAGCCGCACTCCTTGCAGCAGTCAAGCTGGGCTCCCCAGGCCCCCAAGCTGGGGGAGAATCCCGCACTGCCCGCCCCTGGGAGCCCTGGAGCCCCATCCTGGGCGTGAGCTCAGCGCCTCTGTCAGTCTGATGCATGCAGTCAGTGAATAATGCCAGGGTGCTGTCAGGGCGCGCGCCGAGCGCTCTCAGGTCCCCGCCGAAGTCCCCGTGGACTGCAGGGAGGGGCCCCGCGGCATCCCCGCTGGGAGGTCTGCTCCTGAGCCTGCGGGCCTGGACTTCTCGGTCAGCTTGCAAAGCTTGGAAGCGTGCGAGGCTTTCTAGCTCCACCGTCTGGCAGGGGCCTGCAATGACTCCGGGGAGCGAAGGCGCTGGGGTTGGGGGGGGGGGGTGCAGGAAGCCTCTCGCAGCTGCTGCCCTGCGTCCGCCCTTCCCTTGCTCCTTATCCTCCGCGTCCACCCGCTTGAGGTCTGGATGTCTGCTGATTCCTTTGCTGAGCGCACGACTCCCCACGAGGGCTGCATCCCGTCCCTGGCCGGAACCCAGACGGCTTCCTGATTTCCTTCCTGCGTCTCCGGTTATCACGACAAAGGCATGGAGTGGGGCTGGCCCGAACCGCTAGAAGCCCTGCCCGGTGCACGGTCAGGGATCGGTTTATGGCTTTGACATGGCCCACCGACCATCCACGTGATTCCAAGCTGCGTAGTGTTAATTCTTAGAGCTAAAGCCAGGTTTTTGCAAAGTTGTTTTTTATTTGGGGCGGGGGAGGGAGGAATCTTTATTATGCTGTTATCTATCCAGCAATCTGGACCAGTTTAACCATTTCTAGATGAACAGTTTCAGTTTCATTTGCGATGCTGCGCGAACCTCAATACGATGTTTCCAAAACGTCTGCCACAGAAACTGTGTCTCCCCCCTGAGCAGGAGCCCTGTCACTGTGCCTCGCAGCCCTGGTTACCTCTCATCTGCTTTCTGCCCAGGAACTTGGCTATTCCAGGTAGGTCACGTGAGTGGAACCCAACAACGTTTGTCCTCGCTTTCATCAATACCTGCTCAGTGAACTGTGCCCAGGCTGCACGGGTGGTGTCTGAGTCATCTCCTGTGTGGATACATATCAGCCTCAATCCACACAGCCACCTGTGTGTGACACTTTGACATCTTCTGGTGGAACTGTGTTTGAAGTTCACAGACAGAAATAAATACTATTTTGTATATATTACTTTTTAAAAATTATGTACAGGCAGCATAAATGAGCTATTATTTGGTGACAGTAAATGGGGCCTTACAAAATATATTGCAAGCTGGGTGTGGCGATGCATGCCTGTAATACTGACACTAACCAAGTACCCAAGCACTTGGTTAGGCTGGGGGTTAGCACTTGGAGGCTGAGGGAGGAGAATTACCACACGTTTCAGGACAACCTGGGCTACACAGCGACCTCAACACACCAGTCTAAACTACATGGCAACACTCTGTCTCCAAAAAACCAAAAAACGAAAATAAGCCCCCAAAGTATTTATTACCAAACAGGACCAGTGGGGTTGAGAATTAGCCACTGGTCTCCATAGTCACAAATATCCAGCCCCAGGGAGCACACGCCTAGAAGTGCAGCACTGCCGACCCATTAGGAGTGCTGACCAGTCTTTGCAGCCTTCTGCGGCCTGCTGGACTCCCTGTGACCTTGGTCATTGTCTGCCTGGTGTGGTCTGGCCAGGATCACCAGGCATGGACATCTGCGTCCTCAGTGTTGGACATCACTGCTTTGTTATTCTTACCATATGTGAGGGGAGCAGGCGTCACAGATAAATTTAGATCCTGTCCCTCCCAAGCAATCACCTGAAATAGAAGCTATATTTTTAGCATCCAATAAAATGGTGGGTTCCAGCACAAGGCCCAAGCATCCATCAACCAGAATTTGGGGTCACACTATATTTAGTTCCCATTCTTCTTTAGAATGAAGCGCATCTGACTGGGAGCCCTCAGATATCGATTATTTCTCCAGGAAATAAAAAGGCAGGCAATGTAAAGATGTTGTTTCCAGCCAGCTGCCTCTTTATTATTCAGGCTTTCCTAGATCAGTCCTGAAGTCTTTCCAGGGAGTGTATGACGCCATAGCTTCTAAATGAATTCAAGATCGGCTGCTAAGATCTGATATAGATGGTTTGACTTAACCATTTTTTGTCTTTACAGTGGTGTAAAACCTAGGCAACCACTGCGACTCTCACCTTCAGCACAGTGCACAGCACGTCATATGAGATTTTCAACATCCTATTATAACCGTCTTTGCTGTGTGGCTTTGCCCACCTGTAGGCTCAGGTAAGTCTTCTGCACATGTGCAGGGCAGGCTAATTGCTATAGTTGGGATCTTCAGTGTTTCCTAAAGTCTGGTAGATGATAGAACCTTCAGGAGGTGGGGTCTCTAACGTGTGCCCCCAAGCCTCATCTATTCGGAGTGAGACTTCTGGAAGGTAGTTGGATCAAGGGGATGCTGTGCATACTAGGGGATCTGTTCTCTGATGAGTGCACTGTTAGGAGGTGGGACCTGTTGGAGATGGGTCCCTGGAGTGACCCAGAAGGATGTGTTCCTGTCCCCGTGTTCTCTCTCTGGGTTTTTCTGGCTTCGTGGAGTGAACAGTTTCCCTCCAGCATGCCCTTGCACCCTGCTGTTTCTCCCTTGACACCCATAACCCATGGAGTGAACCCTCTGAGACATGAGCCAAGTAAGCTTCTCCTTTAAGCTGAGGGTGTTGGGTATTTAGTCTCGGCAACAGAAAAGTGACTAATAGAGGTCCAAAGAAGGAAGTCAGGAGACTGAGAGTCTGCTCACAGAGTGGGTATTGGAACCTGGCCCCTTCCTTTCTCTTTGCTCCCCAGCTATCGTGAGGTGAACAAGTGTCTTCCACTGTGTGCTCCTGTAATGTCTTTTGCCACCATTGGCCCTAAGCAACAGGACCAATTAAGAACGCCAATCAGAAACTTCTGAAACCATGAGCCAAAACAAACTTTTCCCCTCTTTAAGTTGATTATCTTGGTCTTTTGTCATAGTGATGGAAAGCTAGTAATACACTACAGTAAGCTATGATGTTGGAAATTAGGTTTATTAAATGTGTTTTTGTAAATAATAATAGATCTATCAGGATGTAACCCATTGTAAATTGAAGAGCATACTCCACCCTCTCTTTCCATGTGTATACAATGCGTGGCCTTGCTGTTCAGCTGCTTGTTGCACTGGCAGAGGATGCACTGTTATGGTTTATATCTAGATGTCCTCCAAGAACCTCATGTGCTCATAGGTGGGGCCTTTGGAAGATGATTAGATTATGGGACTCAGAGCTCACCTGCTCTAAGGTGGAGCTGGCTGGAAGAGGCCAGTCACTGAGGTGGGGTGGTAGCCTGGAAGAGCTTATCTTCCTCCCTGGCTCCTGTCTTCATTCTCGGCTTCCTGTCACACCAGGAGCAGCTCTCCCTGCCATGTCCCTCTGCCATGCTGTCCTGTCTAGGAGATGGCTGGTTGTTGACTGAACCGTGAGCCAGAATAAACCTCTCCTCCCTTAGGCTGTGGGTCTTGGGTCTTTTGTTCTGGCAATGAGAAAAGTGACTGAGACATAAACTGTCATGCCTGGACAGTGTATCTCCACACTCCCTGCTGCGCCACCGTTCCCTTGCTCAAGCACTTCCTACCTCTTGCTTGGAGCTGATGTCACATTGATAGGTAAGATCTTAGGCCTCCAGGATTTTAAAAGCTTCCAGAAGAGGCTGATTAGCAAGATAAAAGATGGCACTGAAGTGTGATGAAACTGTGGACACACAGGGACAAACAGCAATCATACCAAAAGGGATGCACACGTGCACACACATGCATGCCCACGCAGACATCCACAGGTCCACATATTCATGCTTTGCTACAAATACTCAGAGTAGACACTCAAAATCCCAGCCTCACTGAACATAAAAGAAGATGGTTGGTGGCAGAGAAGCATCAAGGGAAAAGCATAGCTTGTGAGCAAATTCTAAGATCCCTGTTTTCTGCAGTTTTGAGTTCTTTTTGGGAGATACCACTACCCTCGGATGTTACAGGCAAACGAGGACTTTGGTTCCTCCCTAAAAGCTTGCTGCCAAGCTCCATAAAAGCACACTGGGACTGAATTCTGCAATACACATGAAAGTTAATTGAGGAGGAGCACAGAACAGCCATGTGGTCTATTTAATTTGTGAGTGTGATCTTCCAGCTCTGTTTATTCTTACAGCACCTCCGGCACCTTGATGCGGTCTGATCCGAGATCAGTGGGCTGTTATTTGAGCAGCTGGCTGCAGCCAGAGTGCTAGAGTGTGAAGGCAGATTCACTGCTCATGATCTCCCTCAGGCCCAACAGCTTCAAACCCTGGGTGCCAGTCTGATGCATGTTTGACCAAATGCTCAAACCCAGTTCATGAAAAGCAAGAGGTGTCCACCCATGATGACTAACACATCCATATGTCAGGGACCCAAACAAATAATGGACCGGAAATGAATGGTAACATCATCGTGCTACTATTAAGTCCTCAACTACTAAGTGAATTAAACAAAAAACAGTTGAAGTAGCTGCCTTGGGCATGCAGCTTCTGGTTCTTACTCTGTTTTGTTGTACAATTCTGAGGACTGAACCCAGGGCTTCAAGCATGCTAGGCAAGTTCTCTGTTGCTGAAGTCTTAGAAAATTGTTTAGGCTGTCTTTGAACTTGTACTCCTCCTACCTCAGCCCCTGAGAAGCTGGGATTTCTTAGTTTGTCAACTAAGAAACCCTGGAGGGTGCATATGGCTAGGAACTTCAAGTGTGAACTCACCACCATTAGGATGTGAAGTAAAACCAATTCACATGTTTATCACGCCAGACTGCAAGCTCTTAAAGTAAGTACAGCGGCTCTGGAATCACAAGACAGTCCAGTGAAGGCAGCTGACAATGAACTAACTGAGTGGTCTGCTGTGGTAGATCCCCAGGAAATGAGTTTTTCGCCCTAGAACTGAGAGGGTGGGCTGATGTGTGGTACAGTAATCAAACACTGGTGATTTGGCTTGACATATATTAGTTAGAAACTTTGTATTTAATAATAATAATAGATTGATACAAAGTTGTTGGGCGCAGGCGCTCAACATACCATACCCCACCCGGGACTAAGGACCACGCCAGCTTCCGCAATGCGCTACGTCCCTCCTTAAATTAGCCAACCCGTGCGCGCACCCCGCGCTCACTCTGTACTCTGTGGCAACTCCTGATTGGCCACAGCTGGATATAATAGCCAGAGCCTACATCCCATTCCCGCCCTGCTTCCTTGTGGCAGCCTGTGATTGGTCACGGCCAAATATATAAACCAGAGCCCGCGTAAATAAACTAGCAGTTAACTGTCGTCCACAAGAGCGTCTCCTGTCTCCTGTTTCATTGGAGCTGCGCCGGTCACAAAGTGACAAGGATAGTACCAAGAGGTCTTAGGCATCTTTCTGCTCCAATGATTGCCTCTTTTTAGAGTAATATTATTTTTCACTGTGGCAAAACACATACCATGCAGCAATTTCTCATCCTACTGTTTGAAGTGGAGACCGGAAATGGTAAGTACATTTGCGTAGCTGGACAACTGATCACCAGGATACTTTTCATCTTGCAAAACTGAGACTCTGGACCTATGAAACCACCACCCTAACTTCTCCCAACCCCTGTGGCCACCGTCTACTTCCGTGCACAGGAATTTGATTACATCAGGTGCAGCCTACGAGTGGAGTCTCATGTCTTTCGTCCTCTGTGACTAGCGGTTGTATCTTGTAACAGTAGTATGATATGAGATCCAGGACATTGACAATGTTGCAATATGTGGGTCAAATTCTGTGCCCGTTTGTAATGAAGACACCACCAGACAGAGAACTTGGTCCATCAACACTGCCAGAGGATACTGTGAGAGGGGGCATCTCTTACGTGCTAGAATTAGAATCCTCCATCTTCTGACCTTTGGCAAGCAGTAATCTCTTTTCCTTCTCTTTGAGCACTCCTTCCCTCTTTCCCTGCCTCCTTTCTTCCTTCTCTCCCTCTCTCTCTTTCTCTTTATTCCCTGTCTCTCTCCCTGTCTCTGTGTCTCTGTCTCTGTCTCTCTCCCTCTCTGTGTCTGTTTCTCTCTGTGTGTCTCTGTGTCTGTCTCTCCATCTCTGTCTGTCTGTCTCTGTTGCTCTCTCTGTTCTTTCTATGCTAGAGAATGAGCTCAGGATCATCTCATTGAACCACATCCCCAGATATTTTTTTCTTATTATTTTTAAATAATAAGGCCCAGGCTGGTCTTGAACTTGGCATCCTTCTGCCTCAGCCTCTCAGGGTGCTGGAATTACAGGATGTACCTTCATGTCCAGCCAGGAATCTGCTTTCTGTCTCTGTGCAGGCTATTGTACACATAAATCATAAGGCTGGATATGCCGATTTAAAAAATTCATTTAATTTTTGGGGCTGGGGATTTAGCTCAGCGGTGTAAGCACCTGCCTTGGAAGCAGGCAGTCGTGAGTTCGATCCCTGGTACCGATAAAAAGGAAAAAAAAAATTCATTTAATTTTTTTATTTTAAAGGGAAAAAAACTTCAAAACACAATAATCAGAGGGTAACAATGGTTAACACATTGCATAGTTATCTTTAAATTCGTTACTTGGAGTACAAGATGTCTGCCTTTAATTGTCTGAACAATATTAGCATAAAGCTTTCTTTTCACTGAGCTCAGAGAATTGGTAGTGAACTGTCGTAACTACTGAGTTGTGCCCCCTCTGCCCCTTGAAAGTGCTGAAGTCCAAACCCCTAGAATCTCAGAAGGTGGCTGTGTTTGGACACAGGGGCTTTAAAATGGGAGTTAAACTAAAACGAGGACATCAGACTGTGCTTTCCAGAGAAGGTCTCTTGAGCACACAGCAGGGGTGCACGGGATGGAAGACCCCATGGCACTCAGGGAGAAAACCACCACCTGCAGGTCAGGGAGACAGGCCTCCTGTGCTGCTGTCATGGTTGACATCTAGAACATTCCCTGGCGGTCTCCGGGGTTCAGAGGCAGAGGCAGGGCTTTTAGAAAGTGATTGGATCTTAGGGGTGCTGTGCTCATCAGTGGATTAACACACTGCCAAATCCACAGCTGGATGTGCTGCTAAGGCTGGGATCTGAGTGGAAGAGGTGGTCGCGGGTATGGGCCTGGAAGGGTGCATCCCCTCCCAGCATCCTCCCTGCCGTCTCTGCTTCCTGGCCACCATGATGTCAGCTCTCCTCTGCAGGGCCGCCCGCCATGTTGTTTCTGGGTGTGAACCTGACAACCAGGTCTGAA